TCTGCAGGAGATCTAACCGGTCGACAGAGCATCATGATCACTCCCCCAGGCCCGGCTGAGCGACTTCGGCCACACTGCTTGAACAGTACTCCAACCTGCCGTCTGGCCTCTGACCAGGTCGTTCCTGGAGGGCCAGTCCGCTGGGTTGGCGTCGGTTGAAACACGATCGATGAAAATGCGGCACCTGAGTTTGAGAGCTAACTTCCAAAATACCGAAATGATCAAGCAGACGTCTGACTTGCTTGAGTAGCCTTTGATCAGGGCTGCCTCAACCGCCTCAGAGTCAATGAGCAAGATCACGTCTGAATTGACTAGACGATCGGCAAACGAGGAGAGAGCTAAAACAGGAGCCATCATCTCGATCGGAATAATCTGCGTGGTCCTCTGGAGCCACTTCTCACTCACGCTCTTTGGGATGACTTCCGAGAACTGTTTAGGTCTCAAAAGCCGGCGATCAAACATCACAGCGCCCACACGATCCGGTAACCTTGACTGGGACTTGTCACGTGGATCGGGGGTAAACCCATCTGTAAAAATGATCACATCAGCCTTCTTCGAGACTTGCTGATCGATCGTCCTGGGTGGGCCCGCATCGACCAAATCTTTCCACTGGACGAGCGCCTCTTTGAGAGCAGAGTCCAACCCAAAGCTGGATTTCAAGGGGATCCTCGTGTACTGTCGTTCAGAGATCACCCTAAGAAAAGCCCTACCGATCTTGGCGCAGAGCTGGGAAGCCCCAAACATGAGTTTGCCTTTCAGCTTCCCTGCCGTCCCAGGGTCCAGCAGATCTGCATCCAGGATCGCCTGAATTTCACTCAGAAGATCTAGTCGCCGATCGGGCTTGATTTCGAGCTGCATCTCGTCCAGGTTGTAGGTGACACCTAAAACGGTCGGCGTCGTGGACAGCTGGAGCTTCTTCTGATCATAGCGCGCCCCAAGCCACGTGTGGGCACACTCTGCTGCTAGGCGAGCGCTCTCCACAGAGTCCACGGGCTCAAACCCGTATTTGTCGTCATAAAAGCTAAAAGCAATCAAATTGAACAACTTAACCAAAATCTCGTTGATCGCAGCGGATCTCCTATTATAATTGTAGACCGCAGAAACTAGACCGAAAGAATGCCCTACCATCACAAAGAAAGCTGGCTGATCAGTCTCGGGATTCTTAAGACAAATGACCGAAAACTTTCTCTGATCAGGACGAATTGCCACTTGTCGGTAGGCCTT